TTTGGTAATTTTCTTCTTAAAAATTTAAAATAATGATATTAAAATTATCTCTGTTTTTAATAAAATTATTTTACGGAAAGTAATGGGCCTTTTCATAATCGCCTGTAAATCACGATATATAGTAAAAATTGCGCTATATTTATGTTCATAAACAAATGTTGCAAATCAACAAAGCTCATATATACATTGCTAAATTTTAGCAACAATGTGAACTGTTTTGATTTTATAGTTAAAATTATATTGCATATATTCAACAGGTTATGATTTTGCAGTATTGCGTTTCGCAGTTATTGTTTTGCAGTATTGTGTTTATGAAAATCTCTAATAGTATATTTAATTAATTATTTCTAATATTTAATTATAAAATCATTTTTAATTCAAAATTTCTAAAATAATCACATTTTTTCAAAATTTTTGTAAAAATCTCCACAAATTATTTCTGATTTATAATATTGTTTCTTATTAGTCGAACAATATATGATAATCAAACAGAATTTGAATTTTTTACGAATTACTACAATATTTTTATAGAATTTTTCTTTTATTACTCATAAAATAATCATGAAACTATTATCATTTTTATAATATTGTAACAGAATATCGGAGGTAGATATACTTACATACCTACTATGTATATCTTACATGTCATTCCATTCAAAAAAAATTTTTTAATATACAATAGTCATACCGTGTAAAAACATAATACCTACTTATTTATAAAAAAAGAATAGTAAAAAAAAAAAACTTATGTATTTCAAAACTTTACAATGAAAGTCATCAGTCTTATATTTTTTACTTTCTGCTTTTACATAAACGAAACTTATTCAAACTAAACAAAAAAAAACAAAATACGTTCATTTTAATCTCTTTTTTTTCTTTTTTTGTTATTTATTTTCCTTTAGTTTGTAATAACCTTGACTTTGTCCTCTCGCTAAAAAATTCTTCAAACATCATCTTGAAGTAAACTTTTATTTATGTATGTATATAATTGTGGTTTATATATACACATACTTAATAATGTTTAGCGTACAATACAGTTAAAAAAAAATTTTTATATAAGAACGATGAAAAAGTCTACGACCGTTTTTATATTAAAATATTCGTCAAATTCAAAATTACGTTAATAACATCATTATAAAATTAAGTCTTGTAAAATTTTAATATTTTGAGCTTAGTGCTTGAAATGCGGCAAGGAATATTGAATTAGTATAATATCTATGTAAAATAATATTTTATAGCTTTTAATCTGAAAATATTACAAGTTCTCAGCTCAAATTATTAAAATTACATTATTACATTGATAATTTGTATTTCGATAATAATCTCAGATATTTAAATTTCAATCTAAACTAATTAAATTTATATTAAGGATAATAAACTCATAAGTGTTAATGCATAACTGATTAATTATGTAGTAAGTATAGATTATAGCATCCGAACCAATTATATGTTTTTACTGTTAAAAAACTTATGATTGAATTGACTTAAGCACAATAATAATATGAACTCTACAGAAATATTTTAAAATACAAATAAGAAGACAAAAAAATTTCTTTTGTCATACTTAGGAAACTTTAAAAAAAAAAATTGAAATTAATCGCAATTAAATGTATTTCGGAAATTTGCAAACATAAAAACCCAACTAGAAACCAAAAATTTAATAGATTTTAAAAAAATTGTAGCTGATTATCAAGGCTAACTAATACTAGAATTAAAATTTCCTAAAATGTAATTATAATCGTACCATCGTTTTAACTAAAAAATAAAATAAGAAATTAAACAAATGTAATCTTGTAGTTTTCATAAAAATAATATTATTCTAAAATAAAACAATATCAAGGATTTCAAAACTACTTAAAATAAATGTTAATTTTTAATAGTTTTATAATAAATTAGTTTCAAATTTGTCACCAATTTTTATATTCAAACAAATAATTAAATGATATTTTTCACTACAACTCCCTAAGTTATCATTATTCTTGGAATTGTTTATTTTCAACTTTAATACACAAATTAATAATTATATTAAAAATAACTATAAATTACAGATAATTATATATTTTAATAATATAATTCAAAGGAAATTCATTATTAATATAAATATTGCATGATATTAATTAAAAAAAAAAAAAAATATATAAATTAATTAATACATTAATTATATTATTTTCTATTAATTTAATTTTGTACCGCAAAATATATAAAAATCGTAATAGTTTAGGAATAACAAAACAAATAATAAATCTAAAAAAAATATAGTAATTAATTGTTAAACAAATTCTGAAACACTTTTAAATCATTTCAGTAATTTTAATCAAAACAAACTATTTAAATTCATATAAAATTTCTAAATTTATTATCAAATAACATTTAATCAAATAATCCTACTTAATATGTCACAAACTAATTATTATGGAAAAAACTAGATAATCAATATAATTTAGCAAAAAATGAAATAAAATAAAATAAAAACAGAAAAAAGAGTTCTAAAAACTCGAGTAATCTTTAACAATAATAACAAAATAAGAGATAAGCATTTTGTGGAGGCGTTATTATGTATGTACGTACATAATATTATTTAACCACTTCAAATTTTCAGAATTATTATTTTTTTATTTATTATATTCAATACACAATTCTTGAAATTCTCTTAAATTCCAAAAATGGTTAAAAAAAACAAAAAACGAAGACCAGTTGAATCATTCTTATATAAACAACAACAAAAATTTAATAAACAATTATTCAGAAATTTGTTATTAACTTATGACGTTATAATTTTCATATGTATACATTTTAATATTAAAAACACAATATTTAAATAGCACTACCAACATTTCCATTAAAGGAAAAGAAAGCCTATAGCGTCATGAAAAGAAATAGCTCTGACGTTTTTCTTAACATTTTTGTTTCTTTTGTCATTGATTTTATTTTTTTTTTTTTGAAAGCATGTACGAAAAAATGAAGTGGGTGAACTTTAAATTCTGCAAGTTTAACAAGAAAAAGAAAAAATTATCACCATTTAAGAATCATTAAGAATGCAAATGGAAAACAAATGATCAGTTTCAAATAACATGTTACGTACTTAGTCACGAATTAATCATTTCATGTATATAGATTAATTTAAATGACTTAATCAAAAATTATAATATTATTGAATTTATGTACAATTACGCTTCTTCTTACATTATTTTCAACATAATTAAGTTGTCGGTCGAATTAAATTAAAAAAGTAATTTCTATAAAAATTCTGATAAACTAATTATTCTGGCAAAGTATTCAAGATTTTATTGAATAAAACAAAATTTTTATAATTAAACTATTTTTGATTTTTAGATTTAGAAAATGAATAAACCATTATGGTTAACACGTACTAGCAACACAAATAAAAATTATTTGAATAAAATCTATTCTAATGAATTCTTTTTGACGTCAATAATGTTCGCGTATTCGAACATTAAATACAAATTCTTCTAGATTAAAGATAAAAATAATTCCTACCCCCATAATTTTAATATGGTTTTCCAACTTGACAATATCATTTTGGTACTCTTCATTTTTTTGGTCTTCCATAAATCATTAATATTCTTCAAATACAAATTTTTAATATTCATTTGTACTACTTTTTAGGTAATCCACCATCAAAAAAAAAAAAATCCTAGGAAAAAAATTTAATAGCTGACACGGTAATCATAATAAAATGAACAAGCAGACATGATATATATGCATGAAAAATTAACGCTCTTCTACATTTTGTTAATTGCGTATTCATTTCCATTTTGAGAAAAATTTTAACCGCATAATCGTAAAATGTTAGCATATAAAACTTACCTAAAAATAAAATAATTTGAAAAAAAAAATATTAAATACTATTATACATATAGTTTCTAATTGCACTTGTTGCACGACATTAATTGTTTCTCATATAATTTACTAATTTTTTGAATCATAGAACATTTTTGTTAAATTTTGAATTATTTTTAATAATATTCGGGAAAAAATATTAAATAAACTGAAATATTTGTAAAACATATCCTAAAAACTACTAGTTGAATAATTAAATATTTGACAATATCATGAAATTCATGTTAACTATACAAAGATACTGAAATAATTGGGTAAAATCATTTGATCCGATCCAATTTAATAGTTAAGCTAGTATTATAAAATACGAAATTCAAATAAATTTAATAACAGTTGACAAAAAATTCGATTATAGTCCTTGATATAATTTAATAATTTAGAAATTCAATAAATGAATTTTATTTAAATAATTTTTACATTTAGTGTTGTATATTAAAGATTATTGAACTTTTAAATATGTTTTTATAGAAAAAACGTGCCTCTAAAACGGAATTACCTTAAATATGAAAATACATACATTTTTATAAAATATTTATATTTTGCCATGCCATTTATTTTAAATTACGTAAAAAGTTCATGGAAAAATTGTACATTATTATAAAATTTTAATAAAATTTTATTTAAACAAGAACAGCAAAATAAAACTTCCTAAAAAATTTTAAAATTACTATATGTAGCAGAGAAATACAATAATTTTATATTAATATTTACTATACATTTTTTTTTTTTATAATTCTCATTGCTTAAACTTAAACAATAAGAAATAAAAAATATTGACGCACGACAATAAAAATGGAAACAATACTAGAATACTTAATTAAGTGATCGAGATTTTTTTTTCGTATGAACAGATTATTTTTCCTTAAAAACTTATTTTAAGCTTCTACTTATTCTATAACAATAAAAATAAAAAAAAATTTTTTATTGAAGGTTATACAAGTGTTTATAAAGTTAAAAAAAAACACACGAATGCATTTACGTGCCTTCATTCATTCTCTTCATTATATTTAATTCGCGAAAAATTACTACCATCTCAAAAAAATAATATTTTAGAATTTTATTACAAGTTATCAGTTTTACTATTATAAATATTTCGATAGGTAATTGCTTGAATAACAAAAAAAAAATTAGGTACTTACCTTTCCGTTGTTGGTTCAGAACAAATTAATGGTTGCTTTAATTCAATTATTTGTCCATTTCTTTCCTTTAATTCACCGGTTTCCATGTAATATTGTACAAGTTCTGGTAATGTTGCAAATTTCTCTCCTTTAATATTTATTTTTTAATATATATAAAAGAAAAGATTTCTTTTTTAACAAAAGTTTATATAAAATTATAAAAGAAAAATTTATTATACCTGCATATAGATCAAAGAAATCTCCATTATTTTGTATTTTAATATGTGTAACTTCATTTCCACGCCTTACAGATAATGTATATGCTCCAGGTGTTGTAGTTGAATGACGTGCAAGAAATGAACCATCAAATCCATATTCAAGAAGCAGTCTTTCAGATTCAATGCCAGTTATTGTAGGATGAAACCACCTGCTATAATTGAAAAATTTTAATTTTATATAAGTACAGGTATTATATGTTCCTCTATTTAAAGTCTATAAAATTAATAATTTTTTTATTAGAAATTAAGGATGTAAAAATTAATGTTAAAAAAATACTTTAATAAATTTTGAATTCTTTTATATCGAAGTTGGTAGGGGCATTTTGTTAGAAAATGAAAAAAATGTTAGTAAAATTACAACTGTTAAGAAAAATTTTGATGCTCTTAGTGGAACGAAATAGTAGAAGGGTAGATGAAGATATTATCAAACAGTCATACAAAAAATCTATTAATTAATTTAATATTATTTTTCCTTTGAGTAGGGCATAAATTTTTGTTAAATTTTTTTTTTTACTACCTAAATCTTTATTGAAAAAAAATTTCACATTAACTGAACTTATCACAAATAAGTAAGATTTGCAATTTGACCTACTTTTTCAGAATACAAAGAAATTTTGTTTGAAATTAAAATATAAACTTAAAAAAAAATAATAAAATGTATAAAACGATTTTGTATCAGTTGATGATTTAATCTTTTTCAATTAGTATTATGGTTATATAGAAGGGTTTTGTTTTTTATTTTGTTTTTTTTTTTTTCTTGTATCCATATAATATTGTATACACATATAGATAGGTACCTACCTATGTACCTACCTACCTACATATTACATTCAAAATGGCCTAGTATATAGTTATTCATGACAAGTACTGTACTTAGAAGAGAGATAAAACATATGTAGGTAGATGATAGTTTACAATGAAACAAAAGCTGATCCAGATTATCTACATATGTGTGAAATGCATTCAAATTGCAAAATATAAATCAGATATAAGTATGTACACAATATAATTATTTGGTATATAAATTTTTTTTCTATTGTTTAGTAAGTATATGGAGCAAAAAATTTAATCAAATTTGGATTAATTTTATAGACAATTCGAATTTCTTTTTTAATATAGTTTCATTTTGTTATTGGTTTTTTTCTTGACATAAAAGAATTTTAATTCTAAATTCCTCTTTTTTTTTTCTTATTAGTATTTTAACACCATTTGAGTGAGAGAAAAAAAAAGGTTTACCTTCTAGAGATCATATCTTCACTTAATTCTCAATTTAAACAATGACTTTGAATCCACCAAAGACAGCTTAGAATTTTTTTTAAAACCTTAAAATTTTTTTAAAAATTTGATAATTACTTTAATTGTTTAAAATATTTCTTGAACTTAAAAATTATATATATATATTAATATATTGGCACTTTGAAACACACACCTCTCCCTAAATCAAAAAATTTTGACAACTAAAATCTAACAGTATTACCAGATTTATTAATCATAAAAAATGATTGGAAATAAAATTTTAACTGAAAACTATTAAACATGGTTTACTTTTAAAAATAAAAATCTTTTATACTTTCATATAAAAATATATATATATATATATAAAAATATATATACTTTCTATTGGAAATTAATTTTTATAATAACATTTTATTGATTTTATATAATATTTTATAAAATTAGTAAAAAAAAATTCTGCTGATTTTTCTAAAATTTTAATTTGTTTAACAAGAAGTGGTTTGGTAACACTTTCCAGAAATTCAGATTTCACTTATTGAAATTTGACATTATTTATTGAAGTTTAATTGTAAATTTCAAATTTGTAACTAAATTGACAGAAATGTCACAAATAAGTTTTCACAATAATTCACAATAGTTTTTACAAACTACATGTTAGTTACAGCTTCTGAAATATTTATAATTTGTATAAAAATATTTTAAAGAAAGAAAATAAACTGGAAATCTATCGCAAGACTTACGGAAACGGTTAAAGTTAAATTAATTCAATATTCCGTTACAAGTATCTCTAAATTACATTCTAATTTACATATAATTTTTTTAGAAAATCCTCCAGTAGAGAAATTTCTTTTAAAATGTTTAGATGAATTTGATTTTGAAATATTTTAAGCATTTATAATGTTATAAATTAATCAGAATTTGTAAAACGGGAACTAAATTCAGAAAAATCATATTGAAAACTAGAGTAAACTAGATATTTTTTGCGATATTTCTTTATCATACAATTTCATAGTTTACGAAACTGTTTCATAGCTCTTTAATGTATATATGTATATAAATATATACAAATTAGTATATGTGTATGTTATTTCTTTAAATTATAATATACAATACCATAATCAAACCCAATTATAATGTTGTATATAAAATAAAATTTAGCCAGTTCATATTGTGAATGATTTTAATAACAGGAAATTTAGAAGCAAATTTCTATAAATTGGGAAATTTTCAAAAGTACATGATGCTTAATAATAACAATAAATTATCAGCTGTTTAACATTATAAAACAAAATTCAATATTTATATTTTAATAAATTAAAAAAAATTGAAGAGAATAATAAGTAAATTACTATTCAGAAAATTTATTTTATGAACTTAAAGTGAATTTATATACAAGAAACTATTTTAAGTCAGAAAAATGTTAAATAAAAAAGTTTCAAGAAATCAAGTATTGGATAGAATGCACCGTGGTGTAGTTTGGACTTGCATTGGGCTAACTTTATATGGATCATATCTATTGGGATTAAGAGTTCATCGCTATTTTACTGTTATTAGGCCAGCAAAACAACAAAAAGTAAATATAAATGGAATTTAAAATAAGTTTTAATTAAAAAAAAATTTTAATCACAAATTTTAGGAACTGCAAATGATAGAGGAAGGAAAACATCCCAGTTCAAGAACAACAATTGATAAAGCACCAGAATTAAGAGCATGATTTGTATAGCTGAAATTTATAATTAAATTTAATTAATGTAGTAAAAAAAATATAATGGAGAAAATTTGTAAATAAAGTTGGCCGCCGGCAGGTTCTAAACCCTTCACTAAAAGGTGACAATATATTATTAATTTAAAGTGTTGCATATTATAAATATGTAGAACTGATATGTAGGAAAATATAAAGACATTGGCGAACATAGAATAAGTTCATTGAAATTTATCAACACTTTATGTCTGTATTGAAAAAAGATCATTTTCAATATTGCACTAAAACGGCTATAAATTCAACTAGTCAGGCCTTCATCAAAATCAGATTACATATTTTTAATTTAAAAATTTAAATTACATATACATTTATTTCAATTTTGTATGAGATCTTCAAAATAGGAGGTGTGAACAGAAATTATGCTTGAAAACAATTGAAAGTATTTTTCTCAAAAATTTTTGTAAAAAGTCCAGTGCCAGTCATTACTTATTAGTACTATTTATGACGTCATTGAACATAAAATTTTGTTAAGAAGAAGAATTTTTACACAACTTTTTAAGGATAATATTAAGTGATGTTAGCATGTTATAAACAATCTTTCTCTAATTTCTTCCCGATGACGTCACTTTTTTTTTTTAAATTTCGTCACATTGACAATGTAGATATAAAATTTTAAACCATCGCCTAAAACTAATTGTCATTTTCACTATTATAAAATCACATGATTAGCTGATAAGTCAAACTTCAATCATAGCAAATAAAATAAAACTTGTAAAAGTCTGAATTGTTTATCATCACAAGCTAAAGAAAAAATTTTTGTTTGTTTATTTACTGAAGACTTTTTCGCTACAAAAGGAAAATAGGACTGGAAAATAAAATAGCTTATGTCGGACTAAAAATTTTATTTGCTTTGTTTTTATAACACCTTCCAAATTGCACTATCCAAAATAATGTAAAAATGGCAAACAAAGGTAAATTCACCTTTGTTACATCGCATTATAATAGGTGAAATAATGAATTATGTAAGGTGCAAATACGAATGAAAGTTAATTTTGTTATGTTTCAGTAAACATATGAATAACTTTAGTAATCAGAGATCTTCAAACCAAGACCCATTAATTATATTTGAATCTGATTTAAACCCTCGTAACCCACTGGACGATAGATGCGAATATGAAATTAACTCTGGTGTACAATATAGACTTATAGAATCTACAACAACCGCAGATATAAGACAAATACAGCCAATACAATTACAGCAGCAAATACAAGAATCTGCGAGAAATAAAAATACTCAGCGTCTGGAAAATAATACACAACGTGCAGATTCAAACATAAGTGAAATACAAACAAACAGACCATGTATTATATATCCAAAGATACCAATAGTCCCAAATTTAGAAACAAAAACGAAAATAATAGAGCATCCCTCACGTCCTCCAAATAGAAAAGTAAAAAACAAAAAATTTTTAAATAACTTTTCTAATTTAATGTTTCTTTTAGCGTGATGAAGCCCGACGAGCCAACCATAATGAAGTAGAAAGACGTCGACGTGATAGGATTAATCAATGGATAGAAAAACTAAAAATATTATTACCAGAAGATGATTGGCCAGAAAAACCAAGCAGTACATCGAAAACATCAAATGATTCAAAAAGTGCAATTTTAATTAGAGCTTGTGACTATATAAAAAATATGAAAGAAGAAATAGAAAGCCTCAAAGGAAATTTGTGCCTTGAAATGGATGAACTCGTTAGTTTAAAAGAAGAAAATAGTCTACTAAGAGCTGAAAACGAAATGTTACGTATTCAAAATGAAAAATTAAAAGAAGTATTACCGAATGAAAAATAAAACTTATTCTTGAGACTATCAGCCAATATCTTTGGTGAATATTGGATTCAAAATTGTCGTACCTAGTTGAGTTTTAAATTTCTAGATCAACCTCGTCCCCCCCAAATTATAGTTATTTTTTGTTATATTTTCTATGTTAAGCAACTTATAGAGCCCTAAATTTATTGAATATAGTTTTATATTGGAAATTAATTTTTGTAATTTGATGAAAAGCTAATAAATTTTAGTTTTAATAAACATTATTTAGTTGTAAAAAACTGTTGAGATGACTTTTTTTCTGGTCATTTAAATCGTCTATAAATACAAAATCCAATACCATACTTATAAATATTTATATTTACTTGTACACTATATTCATGAACAAAAAAAGCAAATAGTGATATTAATTACTGTTGTTGATATTTGTTTTTGCCTCTCATATGCAATGGTAGAGGTACTGTACCTGGACAAGGGACTTGTCCGAGTATTTCACATATGCAGTGTCTGTCACAACCATAACCAAAATTAGCTGGATTATCTTTTTTCTCCGCTAAAAATGCCTCCATAGCCAATTGTTCTTTTGATTTACCAAAAACTTTAATTAAATGATCTAAAATTTCCGTTCTATTTCTGTTATCTATATCCACAAGAACCTGCTTTCCATCATCGTAGTAACATCTAACAAATGGTGTAGGTGTCATATTCTTAAATGTTATAACCTGAACAGCTGGATTTTTATATTGTATTTGTGGTATATTCCAAAATACTATTTCTCGGGCACCACTGTGATTATCAGCAAAAGTATTATAATTGATACTAAATATGCGAATATTTTCTTTCAGCACCAATTTACCGGCCTCAAGATATTTAATAGTTCTGCGAATTGGAGCCCGTCCTTTCATAAACGGCATATTGTTTATTTAGAAAAGAAAACTTTTATAAAATGAATTTAAACAGAAATGAAATGTTTCGAATGTTCTTCTCTTACATAAAACTACAAAAAAATGCTTAAAAAATTGTAAGTTTTATTAAAGATAATCGAGAAATCAACCACAATGTTTTTATTTCATTTTGATTAAACCAGCTGTTTTTGAAAATTATCATTAAAACTCATTGCTAAATATGAAAGGTTTAATTAATGACATTGACGTTTTCAAATATGACGTCATCTGAAAGAAACTTATTCAATTAGAAAAAACTTACAAATCTATACATCTGGTTTCCATTTGTTACTTAAAAAAAAATTGTTCCCTTTAGATATTTCGCATAGTGCACACTCTTAACTAATTTAAACGCGTAAATGAAACATAGTTTATATAACTCCTTTCCATATAATTTATCTCCTCGATTACGTCACCTTCTCCAAAAATGAAAACTGTTCTCTATTATGCAGCACACTTTGTAAATTTTCAGACCATCATTTAATTCAACAAATTGTTCTGAATTCAGGATTTTGACATTTTAGCTATTAAGTATTCAAGTTTTTTCTCAATAGTCATTGGTTCGTCGCTTTTAAATTGAATAACTTTAAGTTGATTGACTTACATTCAATTTTTGGGATTTTCTTTTTCTTAAATACATATTTAACGTTTCAAATTCTTCAATTTTTTGAAAATCTTTATTTGAAGAAACTTAAAGTCAAAAAAGCTCTTACAAGTCTATGTTTAGTGAAGTTTTCAAAAAATTCTAACAGAGGTCTCTCACGTAAAATATTTACTTTGAAACTGTCATTCTGACAACTGAAATTTCATATGTATTCATCAGCTGGTTTCGTCATAAATAATTCTTTTGTCCATTGCCTTTAAGCAAATTTCGACTTTTATTTTGATTTTGGAAATAAATTCACTAAAATGATTATAGTGTTTTGAAATATCTAAAATTAATTTGTGTAAAATATTCTTAGGAAAATAACGATTTATATTCTGTGCAAACAATTTGTATTGATAAGGGGAACTACTAAATTTAATTTGTTATAAATAGTTGCAATATCGAAATTTCGACTTAGAATAATGTTTAAAGTTGCAAAAGCTTGCTCACAACATATAAATCGTTGTATATTTGATTGGAAAAATGTATCTTCTTCAACTTCAAGCTTCAAGAGTTTTATTATTAAGGACCATTATGAATTTGACCAAAAGGTAAATTTGTGTTTTTTTTTTTTATCAATAATAATAAAGAATTATTTTTTAAAAGAAAATCATAATAGAGGAAAATTTTTACAAATTTTTAGGTAGTAAATAGTGAAAATCCAGTAATCGTCAATTTTCATGCAGAATGGTGTGATCCTTGTAAAATTCTTACTCCAAAAATGAGTGAATTACTAGAAGGTTCCAATGAAATTGATCTTGCTATTGTTGATGTCGAATCTAACCTGGATCTTGTTGAAACTTTTGAAGTGAAAGCAGTGCCCGCTGTTTTGGCATTTAAGAATGGGGTTGTTGTCGACAAATTTATAGGTTTAGTTGACGGTGATATAATTACAAATTTGATAAATAAATTGAAAAAGAAAAAATAAATGGAGATTAGTAAGCAAGCTGTAATTTTTAATGAAATTAAAGATAAAATTTTGTTTCGGTTTGTTGAGACTTGTGCTATTATATTGTAACATCCAATTTTTTTGAAGAAGAAGAAGAAGAAAAAAAATTTATATTAATGGTAAAAATTATACACGTATTAGGTACTAAAGTATATTTTCATAATTTGAATTACAACTTGATAGTGCTAAGAAAATAATAAAATTTTGTATAAATTAAATTTTTTTTTTTTTTCTTGAATTTTTTAACTTGGTACATTATGTTTGTATTTACAGGGAGTACACATTGATGAAGATTTAATTATTCATACATGTATATATAAGTGCACGTATATATCTTGTCCTATAATCCGTATGGAAGAATCTCAATTTTCCTTGGACCTAAAAAATTTCATACGTTAATTAAGTAAGACACCAAATTAATCAAAAAATCAGATTTTCTCTTGAGAAATTTTAAATAAAATTATTTCAAAACAATTTGTCTAGCATAATTTTGCTAGATATTGAATATGTCTTGATTTTAATTCAATTTTATAACAAGCTAATTTGAATTAAGAAATTTTTTGTGGTTGTGAAACAGCTAGTCCACTGGTTAAACTCCAAATTGAACTCAATATACATGTTCATTGTACATGTTCATATACATTTATTACTATGTATAATTATTAAATTTAATATTGTATTTAATTTGAGGGTTTAAAGTTCCCATAAGCAAAATTATTAGTAATAACATACCTATGTGAAAAAAATTTAAAAATATTTTAAATAACTTTTGGTTATATGCAATTATTCGGTTAACACAATACAGATTCTAGATATTGTCATTCTAAATTTTTATTTTAAATATACTAAAATTAATTATTCAAATTGTATTTGCATAATATAGAAGGAAGTTACGATTCAAATAATTCAAAAATTTTTACTCCAATAATTAAAGAATCTTTTTCATTTGTTAACATTTATATTCAGAGAAATTTTTTAATATGGCAACATTAACAATATTTTACAACAATTCAATTACATATTCCAAAAAAAAAATTGTCATTGGTACCAACTTAATAATTTTGATTGACATTTAATTTTTTATTATGATAGTTTGTATTTTTTTTCTTTATTCATTTTTCAATACAAATTTGACTTTTTGTATTTTTGTATTCAAGTTATTCGAATAGTTGTGTAGTTGCTGTTTTATCAAGCCAACAGGCTGTAAAAGTTAAAGCGGATTACGTTCTGCTGTCGTTTTTACACGTTTCGTTTTTTTTTTTTTTTTGTTTTTTGATAATCAAAAAGCTTGTCGGCTATTCAATATAATACTTTTTTTTTTTTTTTATTAAAAAAAATAAACATGGCAATTAAACCGGGAATGGGGAGAAAAAGTTCCAAATCTCCACCAATTTTAAGTCATGAATTTGTAATACAAAATCATGCTGATATCATATCTTGTGTTGCAATGGTTTTTGTTGTCGGTTTAACATTACAGGTAAGTAAGTGGTATGGTAGTAGTTAAGAAAAAAAAAAAAAAACTTTCATTTAATAAATGTTACCTACCTTCAAAACAAAAAAGAGCATAATAATCCTAAAATTTTTTATACTTCTGCCACGTAGCATCTTCATTTAAAATGAAGAAAAAAAAAGGTTAATGAATTGATTAAAATAAACAAATTTTTTAATTAATTTTTAGCTATGTATGTATGTATGTATTTCGATAATTAGAAAAAATTTACAATATGAATTTTTTTTTTTTTTTTTGGACCGGTGTAATTAGAAATTTGTTATCATAGGCACCTGAAAACTGAGAAAAAATTTTTTGTTTTAAATGTTATGAAAGTAGTAGTAGTAGTAGTAGTGTGGTTTTCTTTATGTTGCTGAAGGAATAATTTTAATTAATTTAAAACTTATTTCATATCTACTACTTATATTTTCTTATTTCAAATAAAAAATGCAATTTTAAAGAAATTAATCATAAAAAGTTTTGACAGAACATTGAAGATTAGAAAGTCATTTATTAGAATTTTCTTTTTTTTTTTTTTTTATTAAAAATGACATTACCTTATTTAATTGGACTTGCGTGAAAATTTATTTTTTGTTTGTTTCTTTTTTGCGTCCGGCAACTTGTGGAATTTTTCTTTGTAAATTATTCTTGAATTATTGAATGATTTCTACAAGAATGTATTTTTGATTTTTAATTAAAATATTTCATAAATTTTTTAAGTTTACGATTTTTGATCTTGAACTTGAATAACATGTTCGTATCTATGTAAAATGGACAAGTGATAGTAATAAAAATTCATTCTTATAACAAACAAGTTGTAGAAATGCAATAGGTACCTTGTCTGTTGTAAAGCGTTTTTTTTTTGCTCAATTATATTTAAGATTATATCAGCTTTATCTTCAATATAAAAACCGGTTTGAATTTGGCTGGTTGGTTGGTAATTGCATATTGACAATATTAAATAAACCAGTCACTTACCTATACCTATAAAAAGTTTGCTTGAGGCGAAAATTTGCAACATTATTGTAGCCTACCTTATATACCTTATGTATTTTATGTAATAAATAAATCTAAAATTTTAAATTAACAATTCTCTTCATATTCTTAATCATAATAAGAAAATAAAATCAACGAAATTAAATAACTTTAGAGAAAGTTTCAATTATTAAAGCATAAATAAAAGAAAAAAACATAAAAATTAACATGATCTGTTTAGTTTACGCGTACATTATTAATTTATACGTGGCTTATTAAAAAATTTAGAGCTTTTAGGTTTTTTTATTATTTTTACGTCTTCTTGTTTTTTGTTTTTCAAATATCAGTAGGTACCAATCTATTCCAAAAAGCATGGCATTGTTTTTATTTTTAAACAAGTTATCAGAAATATCTTATCAAATTTCATGTCTTATCTGAAAAATATAAAAATCTCTTGAGATTTAACTATGGTCATAATATAGGAAATAGGTGGTAATTATACTTGTATGTATCTATACCTAATAATTTTTGACTGCATAGAACAATTTCTATAATTAAGTAACATAATTATGATGTAGGTGAATACTAGTATTTTAACTATTAATATTCTGGATCAATTAAAATTTTAAAATTTATTTCTAAATTCTATTTAGGGTACAAGCTCAATTGCCAATTTATTTATTTCATTACATCATCACATAACACCTGAAGGAACAACCGAAGATTCTTTAAGGTAAAATTTAAATGTTTTTTAAATTAAATTTTTAATAAAATAATGAAAATAAATCAAAATTTTTATTATTTTTTTAGGGATAAACGGATGATATATGAATCTGGTGTTAAAGATTATTGTGCTGTATTCTTTTATACATTAATATGTATTATAATGCATGCGATATTACAAGAATATCTTTTAGATGTAAGTTTTTAAATACCTATAAATAAACAATTCTAAATTTTCAAATTAATTAATATATAATTTAATTTTTTTTTTCTTTTTGTATTGTAGAAAGTATCAAAAAGATTGCATTTATCAAAATATAAATTATCATTATTCAATGAATCCGGCCAACTAATTGTATTCTATTTAACATCATTTTTTTGGGGTGTTGATGTTATTATACGTGAAGGATATATTTCAAAATTTAATTTGTTATGGAGTGATTTTCCAAATCATCCTATGATATTTTTACATAAATTATATTTTGTAATACAATTAGCATATTATCTACATATGCTACCAGAATTATATTTTCAACGAATTAAAAAAGAAGATCGTCAACCAAAAATTATTCATTCCGTATGTGGTTTTATAGTTGTTGCAAGTAGTTATTTCTTAGGGTATGTTTTAAAAAAAAATTTTTTTTTGGCATGTTAATATTCCAAAAATACAATTTTTTTATTAATTCTATTTCTAGTTTCCAACGAATTGCCTTAGTTTTATTGACATTGCACTATCTTAGTGAAATCATTGCACATTTATTCCAATTAATAAGTGTATTTGATCGTGATGAAAAATATTCTGGTTTAAATTATATTAATAGTATAATATTTGTTTTGGTACGTTTTTCAACAATGGTCATATCAGTTTTAACATTATATTATGGTGTGGCAAATACTGAACAAGCAGCACGTGGTTTTATTGCATTAATTTGTATAATAGTATTACAAGGATATTTAATATTTTCATTTATTACTGAACAATTAAAAGCAAAAAGAGAACGAGCACTTGAAGCAAAACAACAAAATAGTAAAAAATCATCAAATAAACAAGCAAATAAAGATAAAAGTAAAAAGAAGAAAGAAAGTGATTTACCGGAAGCAGATCAATCGCCAATAAATTTGGGAAAAATTAAAACTAGATAAACAAATTTTCAAAAACAAAAAAAAAAAAAAACAAAAATAAAGAAACAACACACAAAAAATACATACATTAACGATTAGCACACAACATACATATTATATGAAAATTCCGGCATTTCAAAAAATTTTAAGTGAAAAGTTTATTATGAACAAACAATGTAAATTTTTTTGTTTTAAACCTTTTTTTTTTATAAAAAAAAATTAAAATTACAAAATATTTGTTTTATTCCTATTCCCAAATTTCAGGACTTTTGATTATATAATTGAAAATTAATTAGTTTTTTGAGATAAAATCTTATACCTTCTTTTCAAGTATATGCTGACTCATTTATTAAGACAACTACTGCTTAGATCAAGCATTAAGCATATCGCTAAAAGGAGCCAATAAACATCATAAAGTCATCAATAATTTTGCATTAGAATTTGCATTAGATTTTGTATGAGAACAAATTTTATTTCTGAAATGAAACCTAAAACTCAAGTTTTTAATTAAATTAAGAAATTGAAAAAAAAAATTTATTTTCCTTTAAATATACATTTATATTTTTACAAAATTCAAATTCAATTTTTTCCATTAGTGAGTTGAATCCATATTGTTGAAAGTGATCAAATATTTGCGTTTTTCATTTCACATCTCAAACATAAGTACATGTTAAGCTTGTTGTTATATAAACTAAATTGTTTTAAATTTAAAAAAAAAACAAAAGTATTCAAATAAATTTCAAAAATAAATAAATTTTCAACATACACATATTTTTTTTTACAACAATTTGGATCGCATCTAAAAAAAACTGATTTCTAAAGTATACAAAAATTTTTGCATTTTTAAATTAACTACATAGAATGTTTAGGTATTTAGTGTATCATTCTGATTGGTCAAATCTATTTCTTATTTTCCTTTCTTATTTATTTCATTGAGTTTTACAATATTTCTCAATTCTTAATTACTTTTTTTCTCTTTTTTATTTTCTTTGAGTCTATTCAATCTTTGCAGGAGTGTTGGATGGGAATGGTTCCAAGCTGAATACATCCAGTCATAAACTGGAAAACCTAAATTATCAATATTCAATTTAATCAATGCACCTCCAAGTTCGTCTGAAAATCCTAATTGATTAGCAAAATCATCAGCTTGATATTCGAATCGTCTTGAAAGTACAGTCATTGCAAAACTTATTATCGCATTATATGCTCCTAGAACATATGACAATATTAATAAAAGTCCTACTAAAACTGGACGTTCTCCTTTTGGAAAACCAACGGCTTGATAGAATTCATCATATTCAAATAAATATTGAAAAGCTGCAAACATTAGTAATAAATGAATTTGCATAACTACAATATTTTTTGTAACGTGACCCAATTTCCAATGACCAAGTTCATGTGCTAGTACAGCTAATACTTCATCATCAGTACATCCTCTACCTTTTTCATCCTCTTTTAATTCAGAATCATCTTTCATTCCTTTGTTTATTAAAAGTGTATCAAAAAGAACAATTCTTTTGGAACCAAATAATCCATAAAAATATGCATTACTATGAGCAGAACGTTTGGAACCTTCAACAACATAAATTTTTGTTAATGGAAATTTCAATGACGCAGCTAATTTTTCAATTGCTTCACGTAATGGACCGTCATCTAAAGGACGATATTTATCAAACAATGGAGCAATAACCGATGGATAAATTGTTAATAACAAAAAGACAACAATTCCAGTGAAAATCCACAGCCATAAGAAGAAATACGGACCACCAAGTTTAACTATAAATACTATTGCGGCAGCAATTGGTATAAATATTACTTGTCCAATAATGAATGCTTTAATTTGATCCCAAATAAAAAATTTTAAAGTTTGTTTATTAAAACCATGTCTTTCCTCCAATGAAAAGGTTTTGTACAATTTGAATGGCATTTCTTTTATAATTGTTAAAAAATTTGTAACAATAATGAAAGTGCAACTAACGTGAATTTCATTATCTGAACTCAATCCCATTAATGCTGTATAGTCTTTCGATTTTTGCCATAAATATGCTATAAAACCAAAATATATTTCTATTGTTAATATTATCAGGTCTAGAATAATTGAACGAAATAGCTGAAAGCATTCTTTATCCAATCCGTAAATTCGTGCCTTATCAAATGTTTCATCTTTCATTACATCTTTTAGTTCATTCGGTACTTTTGTGCTTTTACGAAATACTTTAATCTGAAATAAACAAATATTTACATAAATTCAATTACATAATTGAAAGTAATATCTGAAAATTTTTGAAGGAAACTACATTGTAAAAACCACGTAACCCATGTCTTATAGTGAATCAAATTTTACTATTTCTTCAAACATGCAGAAGTTATTAACAATTCCCATGTTATACAGAGCTCAAGCTTTATTAATATTTATTATTTTCTAAAATAACTTACCTGTCGAAAAACCAAATAATTTTCCCATAAATTTTCTAAAAACAAAATTATTATCAAGGTATAAGTTATGATATCGTACTCCATTTTTTATAAAGCATAAAAAAGCGGTGAAGTTGGAAAATCTTAATAACCTATAATATATTTTTTTTCAACTAGTATATTAATTAGTAATAAAAATTATATATCAAGTCTTTTGTTAATATTCTGTACTCTGTAGAATGATAATAACTGTCCAAAGATTTTCTATCCTAATTTAAAATTTTAAACAAGGAGAGACGCAAACCAATGTGACATTTCTATCAAAATTAATTTGACATAGTTATCCTGCGAAATAGTCAATAGATATTTTGACAGCTCTGCATGTTTCTGTAAAACAGGATAATTCAACAAACTCAGCATGGCATAGCCCAAAGTGGGTCGTTTTAATATGTCAAATTAATGAATCAAAATATTTTTTTTTTTTGAAAAATTGTGATAATTTTAATTTATTTTTAGCAATTTTAATTTTATTTTCCCAATTTTTTTTTTTTTTGCTGCCTGTTAAAATTTGTTACTTGATTGCTAAATATGCAGGGTTTTATTGCAATAGCAAGTTTTTACTACTTTTCACCGACTAATCAAATATTTATGTTTCCTTATTTTTGTGTTTTGTGTTATGTTTCTTTATAATTTATGTTTAATCGACTAATCAAAATATTTATGTTTTTGTTACGTGAACAAAAACACTAGTAAATTGTACTAATAAAAAAAAGTACTTTTTTTCAAAAGTTGGAAAGCAAAAGTGGTTAGAGTAATAGAAATCAGATTTAAATTGTTTTGTTGATTATAATATTATGTTATATATTACATATATATATAAAATTTTGAAACTGTCAAAGTGAAAAAACAATCATATTATTGTCAAATTATGTTTATAATTTCTAGTACATATTTTTTTTTATATAAGTACTAGTATTAATTTTAACATAATTTTTTGACATTGTCAAAATATACTTGAATTACTTTTTGAATTGAAGTATTTTTAAATTAGTCGCGACTTTATTATTTACCTGAGTTAATTTTTGTCGAATGAAGCATTTTCGCATTTCTAAGTAACTTAAAATTGCAATTTACAATGAGAACAAGATATAAATTGTTGAATGAACTGTCATGCATTTCGTTTTTTATTTTTATAGCAAAATGACATTTTGTAATTAAAAATTTCTCCTTTTTCGTTTCGGCTGTCATATTTCATACAAATTTTAATTTTTGTATTTATTTAACACAAGAGGGAAAAGGAAAATTTATTTTCTGTTTTCTATTTAAAAAAAATTTTTTTTACCAGTTTTTATCCGGCTTTCAAAAGAATAGCGTTAAAAAAATCGAAGCGTTGTTTACAAAAAATTTAAAAAGAAAAAAAAAAAATAAAATTGTGAAAGAAAAAAAAGGAGAATTATAAAATAATTTTTACATCGTTAAAAAATTGAAAAGAAAATTCAGATTTTCGTGAAATTTATAAAATTATTTTTAATAAGAAATTACCGATTTTTTTCTATAATAAATTTAATGAATTCACCTCAATCACCTTAGTAATTTTTTTACCCTACATTTTATTTCTCTTTGAATACGTAGAGAGAAAGGAAAAGGAGTTTTTTTGTTTGCTTTTTAATCTTAAAATATTTAAATTTAAAATATTAAATTTAAAGTTTTAATATTTGAATCAATAAAAAATAAAATATAAAACATAATTTTGAAAAAACAAGAAAAGAAACAAATAAGGTAATCTTTCAACTGCCAGGATTTACATATTTTTTTTATATTGGAGTAAAAAAAAAAACCGGACGAACTTAAGTGTGAAATGTCGTCAGATACTGCTGCAAAAAATGTAAGAAAAAAATTGATATTTTAATGTACATATTTATATAATATAGCATTACATTTTGATACACATGCATGCATACATACGTTCTATATACGTATAATATCTTTTATATACATAATATGTACATACAAACATTGTGTGTATATTTACAAAGATTTTTATATTCATTTCTTTACTTTTTTTAGTTTGTTTTTGCAATTTTATATATTGTACATATGTACATACCTCTGTGTAATATGTAAGCGTGTATGTACATACTTGATCAATGCTAGTTAAAAAGATACTTTTTGTTCCCCCAAAAAAATATGGGGGGTTATTTGATTTTTTTTGAAATAAAAATTAATATTGCCAAAGAATTCCTGTTTGTAGGCGTTGTCTGGTCTTAATACAAGAAAAAAAAAACTATAAGAATATAATAAATAGCATATAAAAATCAGCCAGCAAAGGAACAGAGAAAAAATAAACTTAAAATTGCATGTTAATACTTTTTTTTTTTTTTTTTTTGGATTTTGTGGAAAAATTTAATATTTCTATATGCCATAACTAGATGTACGTATTATATTATGTACATATTTCCACTTTATTTATTTTATTTCATATTTAATAAGCATTTCAAGGGCGTTGTCGTTTACGGAAAACAGAAAGGATATTAAATTTAATATTCTCATTTTTCATTACATTATATTGTATAGACCTATATGTACCGAGGTAATATACATATAACAATAAGTATACTTATTTATTAAAATCGTTCCTTCTTATTCCACTTCTTATAATTTATAATAGTGTTATAGATATATTGTACTACTGCAATCCTATTATAATTCTAAGTAAATTTGAGGACATTCAATTATGTACATATGTAGGTATAGGTAATTATTGGAAGAATTCCTCGTATAATCAATAAAATTTAAGGATAAATTAATTTAGAATATCATTTAATTATGGTATTTTAATTTCTAAATTTTTACACGTCATACTTATCTCTAAAAATCTTCTTTTTAAAGTTGTCTAAGTATAGAGTTAATAGATGTTTTAATACTTAATATTATTTAATACAATATTTTCAAATATTTTAAATAAGAACACATTATATACAAAATGATTCAGTAATTAGTCCCTTAATATATACCATCGTTTTGTATAGGGTATAAAAAATGAGTAAAATTTTAGTTTGGAACTAGATGCAAAATCTAATTCAGAACAAAAATTTGGAATGTTTTCTGAAATGTAGGAATTTTAACAAATTTTCATGAATTTTCAATTTGCCAAACTATTTTTTTAATTTTGCTTTAAGCGCTTCCGAAATAGATAAAAGCAGTTTGGGCAAACCATTTTTGAAAGGACTAGATCAGGGATGGGGAACCTTTTCTCTATATAAGGCCAAATTTTAGTCAATGCAAAGTCAATCAGGCCACAAAGTTTAAAAAAAGTCCAAAGGTTATAAATTTTTGCTTTGTGTAGGTTGATGAAAACAAAATTATGTCAGAATATAAAAAATAACATAAAACAGTTTATTTCATAAATAAAAATAGATAAGTAAGTATGTACATTATTAATAAAATAATATGGTTCATTATTTCAATGACTTTTCTGTGATTGTTTGTTGCTCGATAACAATTTTATATTTGGTTCCAGCCTCGTTTGGCAGCAAAATTTTAACTTTTAAGAAATATAAGAAATAAATTTTTTTAAGGACAAAGGCCACTAAAAAACAGTTAAAAGGCCGCATGCGGCCTTAAGGCCGCAGGTTCCCCATGCCTGGACTAGATTAAAGGAGCTTAACTACAATATCTATATAACTAATATTTTATGTAGACCTACAATCTATACCTAATTTCAGAAACACAATCATTTAGTGTTTAGAAAAATATCAATTTTTTCTTCTATATTTTATTAAATTTTTAGAAACTTTAAATTATTTTTTTTTTTACAAAAATTTTGCACAGTTTCGTATCGTAACCTTTAATTTAAAACATTGAACGTTAAAAAATTTTCAATAGTAGGTACATATATAGGAGATAAGTAAAGCAAAAAAAAAATAAACCATTTGTATTTAAAAATTTTAAAGGAATATCGTATTTTTTTAATGAATCACCCTGTATATTTTTAGTACACATTTTAAATGAATGCATACATAATATCGCGCATTAGGTATTCAAGTGAATATTATCCATAACTATGACTCATAATATTTTCATGCAACAATCAATAATTACACATACATATAGGTAAACTGTTCCATACCTAGTTAAATTAATTTCAGACACATGCATTTTATAATATCAACTTTATCACCTGCCTACTCATATATTTTTTTCTCTTATATAATTGAATGTAAATAGCTTAAACTAATAAAATTTACATTAAGAAATAATACAAAAAAAAAATATGAAATTTAAAATTAATATTAAATTTATTAATTTTGTTTTGGAAACATTTTTTATTTCTTGCTTTTTTTTATCATAAATCCATTAATAATACACTGTGTAAATTATTTCTTTCATCTTTTTCTTTTAATAATTAATAAATAATATTGTATACAAAGGCATTTTGTTTTTTGTTTCTTCTATGAATAAAAAATTTCATGCATTCTTGCATCCATCTGTTCTTGAGTCATACAAATTGTTCTTATATTAATGTAGGTACCTAGTTCCATATCAACTGTGTACAAGAGGAATGAAAATTAAAAGCAAAAAAAAAGATGCAAGAAATAAAATATGACTAAAAGTTCTTCAATACTAACCAGAGAAAACAGAACGACTATAATAAATTAATAAATTAAAATATAAATATAAGATTTTTAAGATTGTAATTTTTCTGGATGCTAAAAAGAAAAATTATAATCTCTTTAAAACTTCTATAAAAATGCCATAAGTATATTTGAATTTAATATAATTTTTCTTTATATTTGCTTTTATTTTTAGTTTATTACTCAAAAAAAAAAATTTCTAAGCCGAGTTGAAAGAAAATTTATTTTAAAAAACATCTTTTGTATTATATAAACATAGAAAAAAGAAAACACAAAATTATGCTATTAGAGGGGTGTAAATTGTTTACAACATACTTAAAATATTTATGCATGAAGAAAATCATCTATGAAAAATATGAGAAACAGAATAGAATTTGTTGTTTCTTTAAAAAAAAATAAAAAAACTGTAATGTAAAATAATTATCAGACCGGAATGAATTTTAGAAAATACAAGGAAAAAACCAAGAAAGCAGAAATAAAAAATAATCATATTTTTTTTTTCTTAACAGCCTTAAAACATTCGATGACATCCAAATCGTATCAAAAGTTGTATATTACAGTTTATATATCGCACTATTATAAATTTATATTACCGTAACAGTACTTTGCCGGTACACATGAGCTAGATATCCCCGTAAAATATTAAGATATCCCCATATTACCGTAAAATATTAAAAAATTCGCATCGAACTTTTCAGAAAACGGTTAAGATCCCTGACACTAGCTTCCATCAGATCCGTAATCCATAAAAATTTTATAATTTAACATTTTGGATCACTATTCTTGCATATTATTTATAACATTTAAAAAAAAAATTCTGGAATTCAAATCAAATCTTATTTTTTGTTTTTAATAATCACATTTCAAAAATGATCAGCTGTTTTCAATTTAAATTGACAATGTCAGCTACATACATATTAATGTTTTGACTAATCAGTTTTACTAAAGTATAGCAATTTAAATTTTTAGATGAATGGCTTGCTTTATTTGCCTTTTATTAAATATTTCGAAGCAGTTCTAATGTTTTAAACAAATTTTTAACATAGTTAATATTTTCTAAATCATACAACTTTGTAAAGTTTGCGTTTTACTTACAATTTGGATGTCAGAGATTATTAAAATAATTATATTTTATTTAAACTTGCTTAACATCTTTAAAGAGATTTTGTGAAAAAATTTTATCATAAACAATTTTAAAAGCATGTTTTTTTTATTCTACTGTAATTTTCCTTTTTTTTTTTTAAGAAAGAAAGAAAGAATGATTATTGTTTGCTTTATTTTTGATTTTTTAAAAATATAAAAAAATTTTTATATACAATATATATGTAGGGATGTAACTAAAACGAATGTATTATGCATTAAGTGCTTTTTTACACTTTGTTTGATATTAAATCACATAATATTTTTCATAAAATAAAACAAAATACTTATATAATAAGTACCTACATAATTATATACTTATACATACATATGTAAGTAAGTAATAATAAAATTTGTTATACTTACATACCTACTAACATATTTCTGTTATTTACCTATAAAAATAATATTGGTCAGTAGCTGATGAGGAATAAAAAATAAAAAATAAAAATAATTATTGTTATGAAAAAATAATTTTACCATTATTTTTTCTAATAGATTTTGTAAAAATTATATTAAAAATAAAATTGCAATTAAGTACATACTAGCCCCTAATGAAGTCATTTTCATATTTCCTACAAAAATTTTGATATTTTTAGAATTTATATTGTTTTATTAAAAATGCTGATATTAATTTTTTAAATTAAATTGTAAGAAAATTATTAAAATTTCGGATGTGGTACAAAAATGTTGTATAAAAAGATTTTTTTTGAAGCAAGTTTCAATAAAACAAATAATAAACAAGTACTTAGCATATATGTAAAAGTCTTTATGAAAATTTTAGTGCTAATGCTATTCTAGACTTCTACATTTGCACATTGCTTTTTTTATATCTAGTATAGTAACTAATTAAAATAAATTTTGTTTATTCAAAATTAATAATATTTAAAAATTGAAATTATTAATTAGGGATTATTTTAAATTAATTCAATTAGAAAGCAGTTTCGTAGAATTATTAAAATTAATTGTATTACAAAATATTCTAATTTTACTACTATAATTAAAGTGAATATATTTTAATTTATTTCTTAATACAAATATTTTTAGTATTCTGTGAATGAAATTTTCTATTTAATTGAATTAAATTGTGTTGAATGGGCCTGATTTTCTA